TCATTCCACTAGTCTTTCTCCATTGTCGTCATTATCATCATATCCCCATAGAGTGTGATGGCTATTGAAATCTCCTAGATAGACCATGCGGTGGTTGTTCCCGACTTTGATTACATTTTGTGACCATCTAGCTTTAGGAGGTTTATAAACGTTTATGATATTCATCCCGTTTATTGATATAGAGATCACAAATATATCATTTTCACAGCTAGACTCATCAAGGCGCACGTCTTGTATTTCTTTGCGTACATATGTTGCAGTGCCGTAGACTTTGCTATAAGTAGCTCCAATCAAGCGGTATCCTGGAATTTTTCCTCGTTTGAGGAGGTCGGGTTCAGAAGATGGGTGTGTTTCTTGAACGGCTATGGCGTTAACGTTCTGCTCGATCAATACCTTAGAAAGGTATTCTGATTTTGACCTACTAATTCCTTCTATATTCAATTGGCATACTCGAATTGTTGGTCCAATATGCCTCGTCGATTGGCGCTGAGAAGTGCCATTAGTTATATCTCCTTCTATTGTTGTGTCTTTCATCGTATTGTTAGCCAGGAGAGCGTAATCGCCAGTTTGGCTTCCGACAATGCTAGTTCATTTAGCGTTACTCAGGGTGCACGTGTAGTATTCTACTACGGACGCGAACTAGCTCTACACCCCTGACATGGGTCATGGCTCTGTTCACTGGCAATGAAAATAGATTAGTTAATGATTTGTATTTAAGGAGAAAATAAAAATCTAAATTAAGTGATTATTATAATGATGTGAAATTCGAAAAGTAATACAAGTGACTTGGAGATAAACTTCTACTAAATTTATCTCCAAACAGCATTATAGTATTAGAATGAATCATACCACAATAAACAAGAAGATGAACACCCAACTTTTACATCTAAAATGGCAGATAATGAACTATAGCTTCGGGAAGAAATATAGGATACATTGATGAAATGCCACGACGTACGAATTAACCATATTATTAGAAGTTTTGGGGGGATAAAGGAATGCGAACCAAAACATCACAATAAAAGTAAAAGTAGAAGAAAAACTAACCGACCCTATTGAAGCTGGCAATGGGGTAAGACAGGGAGAATCATTGAGTCCTTTATTGTTCAACCTGATTATGGATGAAATAATAAAAAAAAGTAAGAACTAAAAAAGTATACCAAATGGGAAAAAAACAACTTAAAATATTCTGCTATGCAGACGACGCAATACGACTACTTCACTTAAGATTATTTACAACCTATGCTGCACAAATTTAATATAACCGCCAGAATATTTAACATGTTAATTTCCCCAAAAAGACAAAATGCATGGTTATAACAGCAAATTTACTAATGACATAATACATTATAATGTATTTTATAGATTTTCAAAGCCATTTAATTTTTTTTTGCTTTTCGGAATAGTAGATCCCTATCTATCAAAAATAGTTACTTTTTTTAATTACTTTGGTGTATCTAACAACAAAGTTAACCTTCCATGCTTTTTTCAATAAAAATAGTTTTTTCAAATTGTTCACTGTGCTCTAAAAAACAAGGTACTTTATCTCCTGGCTTCATGTTTCGATCATCAGCGATAGAATAGAAGTGTTGTATTATATTATACTGTTCTTGTTAACATATTGTGACATTTTGGTAACTTTTCAATGTTTGTATAAATTTTAAATAAAATTTTGAATGCAATTTTTTTACTGTAACTTAAAATTAACACACATGTCGTATACAAATGATGTAAATGGTCAAGTAATTGGATTTTATCTTCCTCATAACTTTTTATCTTTTACGGCTCGGCAAAAACGTCAACGGCAGAACTCGGCAAACGTTCAAAGCTGCAGGATGACTTATTTGTCATTCTTCTTTGTTATTGTCAACATATATTCTTGTATATCCCGATGACGCAGTTTCACAGTTATCAAAAAATTTTATTTCGGAAAAATCCACAAGAGCCAATCAAAACGTACATTCTTAATATCGTGACGTACGGTATTGCACCAGCATCATATTTATCAACTCAGGTTTTTAAAAAATTAGATGAAGGTGATGGTTTTTGCGCATCCTCTCGCAGCTATCGCATTAACAGAAACTTTTACGTCGATGATCTTCTCACTGGTGCAAAGAATCGCGCAGAAGCGTCCGCTTTGCGAGAAGATCTTATCGCATTGTTAAAAAAGGCGGTTTTTTCTTCGAAAATGGCATCAAACAATAGCTCATTAATAGTTGATCAAAATAAACACGATGAGAATACTCACATGTCTCTAGATCCTGATGCCACCATAACGGCATTAGGAATTCAATGTAATTCTCGCGAAGATACTCTATGTTATAGGTCGGACATTTCAAGTATCGAAACTGTAACGAAACGCTCTATTTTGTCGCAAATCGCAAAATTGTTTGACCCGCTGAGATTGTTGGGCCCAGTTATCGTATACGCAAAAATAATTATGCAAATGTGCTGGAAATCGGGAGTTACCTGGGATGAATCACTTCCGCTCGAAATTCACGATGTATGGTTATTATTTCAAGCTCAATGAAAACTTATCGAACATTTCAATTTTTCTCGTTGTATTACAATACCAAAACCCGTCGATATCCAAATTCATAGATTTTGCGATGCCAGCGTCGCGCAGCGTCGAAAAGTTTTACTGCGCTTGTCTTTATTGTCGTTCTGTTGATGCTGAGGGAAATATTTTTGAGCGATTGATTTGTGAAAAATCAATGCTATGCAACGCTTTAGTGTTCTCTTTTACTGAAAGTCAGCGGTACTTACTTTTGGTCGGACTCGCCAATCACTCTTCACTGGATAAATACCCAGCCGTATCTTCTTCGAACATTTGTCGCCAACCGGGTTGCGGAAATACAAAGATTAACTAGTTGGTGTCATTGTTAGCACGTTTCCTCTTTAGGCAACCTGGCAGATTTTTTATCGCGCGGTCAACTTCTCTCAGAATTTTAAAAAAATAATATTTGGCAAATCGGTCCGTCTTGGTTGTCGCGAACCCAATCGAATTTGGATTCGATCGAAATTTCCGAACTAAAAATGGTAAGGCTTCAATCAATAAAGTGTATGCAAGTTTTGTTGAATAATAATATTATTTTAAAAAAATACAGCTCGATGCATAAATTAATTAGCGTGATTGCCTATGTTCGTCGATTTATTGTCAAGGCAAAGTTGAAGGGAAAAGATAAACGCAATTTAAACGAGCTAAATGCTCAAGAGTTGGTCGATTTACAATATTTAATAATTAAGATGACACAATTCTCGGAATTTTCAAAAAAAATTAATTCTTTAAAAAACAAGGATTTCGTTATTGGTAAAGGTAAATTGGTGCCTTGGAGTCCATTCCTAGATAACAACGAAATCTTAAGGGTTGGTGGCAGACTTAATCGATCCTCGTTACTGATCATATATCATACATCCTGAGTCGCAAAAACATCCAATCTTGCTTCCAGCTAATCACTATACGTAAAACTAAAACACGCTGGTCCCCAAACTACCTTATACTCTGTCCCCCAAATTTATTGGCTTTTAGACCCTAGCTTTTAGTCCGTCATAAAAACAATTTTACATCGATGCATCCCTTGTTTTCTCGTAAAACCTCGTCCGGCTAATCATAAAATGGGTATCAGTACAGTGTATGTATGCATGTCTATACGAGCCGTTCATTTAGAACTACTAAGCGACGTGAACGGCTAACAACCGAAGCATTTTTAGTCAATTTTACCGTTTTTGTCCTAGACGAGGAAAATGTGCAGAAATATATTCGGATAACGTTACCAATTTCGTGGGAGCAAGTCGCGAGCTGTATGAATTATTTGACTCATCAGCTTATAAACAGGCCATTAGAAAATATTCGGATGTTAAAATGTTCGCTTGGCATTTTATACCGCACAAATCTCCCCACTTTGGAGGAATTTAGACAGCCGCGGTTAAGTCCTTTAACAATCATTTAATTCGTACTGTAGGTGATACTTTGTTAACATATGAACAATAAGAAATTTATCTTATTTAACTAGAACAATATTAAATTCTCGTCCTATTTCTCCTATGTCGTCTAACCCAAATGATCTTCTTCCCCTTACCCCTGGAAATTTTTAAATTGGTGGTCCTATGACAAGCTGTCCTAAGACTGACTTTTTAGATATGTCAGCCAATAAATTATTAGCTTGGCAGCACGCCAAGCTGAAGCAGCACGTCTGGAAACGGTGATATAAGGAATATCTTCATCAATTGATCAGCAGCAATAATGTTAATGCTACTGACAATCGAATAATGGTCTATCCTTCTTGTTAATTCTTGTGGACAATTTGCCACCGTTACAATGGGCAGTTGGACGCATCACGTCGGTGCACCCTAGGGAGGATTGGCGTTGTCAGAGTGGCAAACTTGAAAACCAAAACTGGAGAGTACAGACGCTGCGTGAAGAAGTTGTGTCCACTTCCGATCAGCTAGATTATCGACGTCAACCGACAACTTTATTTTGAACTTCAGTAGTTCAAGGCGGGCGTCATGTTCCGTCTCATTATAATTTACTTCATGTTGTTTGTCGATTTTACTTTATTATTTTAGATTCATATCGGTAATTCTTAAAGTTTGGGTAAATTAGCTTCCAGAAATCTATTTAAAGATTAAAATATTTATCAGTTTTACATAATTCTGGGAAAAATTTGTAGATTATAATCCCTGTCTTTAGAAATTAGGTAGTTTAACATTTAAAGTTGTGTCATTCACGTGTTTCCTCAAGGTAAAATTTTACAGTTTTTAGAAACGACCTCCCTCTCCACAAGGGGCTTCATTTGAAACTCAGTTCTGTAAACACGTTTAGGTTAGGCAATAAAATGTTCTATCAAAATTGTCGTCGTATGTTATTTTAATGTCGTCGTATGTTTTATAAACTCAACGATTTTTAAAAAAATATATATAATAAATTTAATTCATTTGATTAGTGTCAAATTAGTGCAAAAAATGTTGATATTTGTTAATAATTTGTTATATCTATTCAGTTTCAGACCTGAACGACCGCATGATAGGTATCATATTAACATTGTAAACGAAAAACAGAAGGTCTGTGCTTCCTCTGTTGGAAGGCAACCTGCTGGAACACAAAACGTAACGCTGGGAGACAAGTGCCGTTTGGGGAACATTATACATGAATTCATGCACGTAATTGGTTTTTGGCATGAACAAAGTAGAAAAGACAGAGACAAACATGTCGACATTATACACGATAATATATTAGAAGGCAAGTATTGATTTTTATTTACAAAATATATATATATATATATATATATATATATATATATATATATATATATATATATATATATAAGCGCCACACTGTAGGTATGGTCTTATAATTTTATTGTTTAGCAGTTTAAAAGGACAAATCCAATTGTTATTAATACTAAAATTGGTATAAAATGCCTTAACTGATACTGTTTTAAACTAATTTTTTATAGGACGAAGTAGGAATTTTGAAAAAGTAACTGATAACAATTTTGGCCAATATTATGATTATGAATCCATTATGCATTATCATTCTAGAGCATTTACCAAAAACAATAATGATACAATAGTTCCAAAGGTAAGATATATAAGGTAAGGTGATATATAAGGTACTTTATTAACTTTAAAGCTAACTGGCTGAATGTAATTTAATCGTCAAAATTATTTTATAAATTAGATCTAATTTAAAAGAAAGGACAGTTAAGATTTGGTTTCAGGTATAAAAGTACATGGGGGCATTCGCTTACACGTATTTCATCCTAGCAGAAATTAGGGATGGGAAAAACCTAGCGGTTTTAACCGAAAACCAGTTTTTTTACTTCGAAATAACCGGTTTTATCGGTTGTGTTTTTGTTCCGGTTATAACCGGTTTATTATTTTTAAAGTAAAAACCGGTTATTAGGTTTTTACAGTGATTAGGATTAGGTTAGGTATTATTTTGGATCACATCCAATCATAATTATTATTCTCCAGTAATTATTCCAAACAAAACTAAAATTCAATTTTTTATTTTATTTTTATAAATACAGAAGCAAACTGAAAGTGCAAGCTCACATCAGCCAGAAACAATTAAATTTTATTATAGTATTTCGTTGAAACAGTTTTTGTAATCATTGTATTTTTACATAAGAAGTGATCTGGTATTTGTACACATCATCTAATTTTCACAGTTGACTCTTGACATTGAAAGTGGGTGAATGGCTTTTTCTGATTATTATACCAAAAATAATGACTATGAATATCGAATTACCGATTACGAATCTCCAAGGATTTCCTACGTTTTCAAACGATTTATACCCATACCGGAAGTCGTAAATGAGTTAAAAGTAATACATAATAATTTTTTTTTGATGGTCGTAAAAATAAAAGATGAATTGCATTATCCAATTTATTGTTAAGTAAAATATTATGTTGATATTATTTTTTTAAAATCCCATTTGAAAGAGTCTGGGAAATTTTGGTTTGGGGAATTTTTTTCTCACACAACACAAAAAATTGTGTTGTATTTACATTGATATTGATGTTCTTGTTCTTTCGATAGTACTAATTTTGATCATATTGATATCGAGTCGAATGTAGTATCGCAAATTAAAGTGCATTGTAAATGTAACTTTCTAATCTATTGGATTAAAAAAACCGAAAACCGGTTTTTGAAAAAAACCGGTTTTTTTTGGCCGGTTATAACTGCCAGGTTAAACCGTAAGCAAAAAAAACCGGTATAACCAAAAACCGGTGTTTTGTCAAAAACCGCCATCCCTAGCAGAAATCATCAGAGCGACTGGTACAAAAGCTCTAAACATGAAGACAAATTTTTTCCGTCAAAAGAAGCAACAATAAAATGGCTTCAATTTGGGTTTTTCAATAAAAATCTTCAGATTTTTACTTTCGAGATTTAGATCTAATTTATTTTTAGTACTATAAGCAGACATATAATATTTTATTATAAGGTTTTTTCTTTAATTTTAATAAGTCTGATTTGCAGGATACATCATTCCTTAAGAAGATGGGTCAGCGAAATGGATTGACGAAGACAGATATAACTAAAATAAATCTTATGTATAATTGTCCTGAAAAAACAAAGGCAATTATTGACAGTCCTGAAAAATTTTTCGTTGCAAGAAAAAAGGAAAGCAGAAAATATTTACACCATAACTGACTAACTAAATTTGTTCTGAAAAACTAGTTCAATTAATTTTGATATTAAAGATTAATCAGAAATACACCGGACTCATCATTATTTCTAAATAACCTATGAGATATATGATATAAGTCATGCGATGAGGGGAGGGGGAATCATGGCACTCATGTCACGCAGTAGTATGGCGTAGTCTATAGGGGAGAAGGGGGTTACTGTGGACCATTTTTACTTATTAGCAAATTAAAAAAATATGTATAAGATTCTTATGGCTGAACTTACCTCACATATTTACTGTAAACATCAACTCAACTTTCGATGTGAATATTTTATTTGTATCTTTCTTAATAGAACAAATATTTTGATTCAAATCGGAATCAATAATTTGTCCACAATGACCCCGTGGTGGGTTAAAGTGGACAGAGTATGGGGTTATAGTGGACGCATAGTAAAACATATACAGGAATACTGAAAACTTTATGTTAACAAAAAGAAACTACAATACATTATAAGAACTGAAATTAATATTAAATGAAAATAATCTTCCTTGCCTTTTCGTGCCAGTGTCTACTGGGTGCTCCAAAATTCCGACAATATCGTTCTTGTCGACAACTGAGACATCTTCAACTTCGGGAAATACGAAATTATTCACTTTTTTCTTTAAAAAATTAATTTGTACCTCCACATCTCGAATATCTACGATTTGGCCAACATAGTGTGTTACCGATTTTTTACCCATAAACTTTACAAGTACGAAATCATTTTTCTCCATTTGTTTGTCCATAAAAATATCGTTGTCCTGACCATCATCTTCCATCCAGCCTTCATCCTCTGATTCAAGTATTACTTCTGTAAAAGAATTGGAAGAGGAAGATTCTTTCCTACTCCTTTTTGGTTCATAGGAAAGAGATTTCTTCACTCTATTCTTTTCTCGCATTTCAGCTCTTTCTTGCGCACGTCTTTCCTTCAAATCTTTAGCCTCTTTTTCAGCTTCCAACTGATCTTTCACTGGTGTGCTCGTGTAAATAGTAGACTTTTTATTTTTTCTTGCTTTGGAGTTTGATGAGCGATCTGCTTTTAGAAAAGGGCGGCAGCTCTCAGGAGTAATTACAGCTGTTGATGTAGTTGCTACTGATGGTGAAAGCGTACTGGGAGCTACAGGTAGCAGTCTTGTGGAGATTGAAGCAACTTCTAATATTCGCTCAGGATCTTCAGGATTTCTTGGGTTCATTGCTGTTGGTGGTTCTTGATTCCTATCTGTTGTTTCGGCAGCTTCATACTCCTCATCGGTGAATACAAGACGATTTATTGGCCATAAACCAGCAGATCTGAATCCAGATGTTATATTCTTCATTGTAAATGCCACAGGAAAAGCAATACCACACAGTTGAGCAACATCATATATTTGTATAGGTCTGCCTGGATGATTTTGAAGATAGTCTCCCATTGCAACCCGTAATGCAGCTTTATAAGGACCATATACTGCAACATCTAGCGGCTGTAGTTTCTGGCTACAATGTGGCGGAAACGATAAAAGAGTAATTCCAGATTCTCGAGCTAAGTTTATAGCTTCCAAACTTATATGACTTGAATGATTATCCATTAATATAAGTAGAGGGTTTTCTTTAGAAGCACTTAAGTGCATTTTTATGTGCTTTAGTACTTCTAAAAATAATTCAGCAGTCATATAGCCAGACTGATGAGCCAGACCAATGCTCCCTATTGGTGCACCATCTAAGAACCGGTCTTTCATATTCTTCCTGGGGAATATGAAAACTGGAGGTATTGCTTGTCCAGTGGCTGTTATAATTCCGCACATTGTAACATTTTCACCGCGTTCTTGAGAGGCCACAGCTCCTATTTGTTTTTTCCCTTTTCAGCTATACGTTTGGGTGGTGGTAAGACCGTGGGTATACCTGTCTCATCTAAATTTATTATCCTTTCTGGCCTTCCTTTAAATTTATCTAAAACTCCAATGTAATTATCAAAAAATAAATCCACGTTGGATTTGTTAAAGGCTGCATCTCGTGCTATGCTTGTATTTTCAGGTTTTCTAAGAGATAAATCACCATGTCGTTTCATAAATGAATATATCCAGTCCTTTCCTGCTATCTTATTTTTAGCCCAATTCGAAGGAATTTCTATTTGTAGAGCACTACCATACTCAAAAGCTAGGGTACAAGCCTGCTTGTAAGTCAAGCCATAATGTAATCGAGACGCCTTCTTAAGATAATTGACAATGTGTTGTTCTTGTTCATCAGAAAATATTTGGTGACCTCGAAATTTATTGACGCCAGAAACATTCAAGCTAACAATTTCTAACTCATCTTCGTTACCTGAATCATCACCAGAGGGTATATTAGCATCTTGAAGGTTCCTCTTAGCCGAAATGACTCTTTTGTGAAGCATACTTTTTTTCAATTCATATTTCTCTGCAATATTTCTCAAGCTTCCTTTTTTTGTTAGGATATCCTTTATTGCACGCTCTACAACTTTTTCATCAATATTAGCTCTCGCCGTTTTTCTACTGTAAGTCCCCATCTGAAACAAAAAAGCGATTTTTATCACATGATTTTTGGAAATATAATCACGTAGAGACGAGTTAATACAGGTCGTCGAAGAGTTTTACGAGGACTTATATAGAAGTAGACGAGAAGATAAAACAGGAATACAAACAGCCATTTCAAAGAAGATCAAGAATCAAGGTTCCGAACTAATGCCAAAGATAAAGCTAGATGAGATTCGACAAGCATTAAGAAAAATGAAAAATAACAAAGCCCAGGAGAGGATGGAATCGTAATAGAAGCTATCATAAATGGAGGAGATATGCTATTAAATAAATTAAAGAAACTATTCAATCTATGTTTGCAGCAAAGAGAGGTGCCCAAAGAGTGGAACAATGCTACAACCATCCTTTTGCATAAAAAAGGAGATAGAACGGACCTAGAAAATTATAGACCTATAAGCCTGTTGAACCACATATACAAGCTCTTCACTAGGGTAGTGACATCAAGATTGGAGAAAAAATTAGATTTCTACCAACCGAGAGAGCAGGCAGGATTTCCGCTCAAACTATGGTACCAATGATCACCTCCACAACAGTAAAGACACT